TGTCGGATAGGCTTAGAGAGAGAGAGAGAGAGAGGAGGGGTAGGAGAAGTACCATCGAGCAAGAGGATGAAGCTCGATTGGAGTGTAATTGGGTTTTGACTCTCACATCACACTCATTTCAAGAGCAATGCACTCACAAAACACGTGTGCAATGGGACGCAATCACATGCGGTAGCATTGCAAGATCAAAGGCATAAGTGTTTGGGGGAGGATGTAGCTGTTCGATTTCACTTGCACCCGTTTCACGCTTCATCTATAGCCACTTCACTTATGAGCAAATGTACCGGCAAAGCACAGGACATCCGCCCAAAACATGAGATGCACAAGTGGACCAAGTTGGAATATAAGAAGGAAGTGGGTTTGAAGCCAGCCACCTTTCTTGTCTTCGTGTTTTTGTTGAATTATCGTCAAGCCTGTTGTCCTGCTCTGACGATGTCCGTCACATGACGGACGAAAGCTCAGCAAGGGCTTGTCGGTGCGCCGAGGGCCTATTCGCACAAATCTACAGCCACGGCTCCAAGGCAAACCCCCACAGCCTCCGGTAGAAGCAATTTACGAAGCGCTTCAACTCGCCTCTTCAAACGAAATGAAAGACACTCCAGCATGTCGAAATTGTATGCTGCACTTCCCGGATTCGATTCCAGTCGGACCGCTGATGAGACTCAGGAGCGGTCGAAACTGTATTACACTTCAGTCGGACTGTGAAGAACTTTTGCGGAGCAAGACTAAGTGCAATTTGATGCCATTCTGAGGCATACTCTTATCATTCTGGGAAAATTCCAGTGTCCACCATTCATCATCGTAAGCGACCGAGAGTGAGTATAATTCGTCTCCATTCACCCCGACTTAGATTTTCAGAGCACTGAGATTATGTGCCTAGCTTACTGTTTGATAGCCTACCCTGCCATCTCTAAACTCATTGTTTTTCGTATAAGGATTGTAAAATTCTGCTTTCCATCTGATTCAGACAGTTTTTTCATCTAAACCCTCCAGTACCCCTTTCATATACCCTTCTTAGGTTGTTTGAAATTTAGTTATTTGCTAAAATTGAAACTAATAATGATCCTTTTGTTCATTCAACCCGTCATCTGAGGTCAAATATGTATTTGAAGATATTAAGACCAGGATGGTGTAGCATTTTGTATGGTCGCGGTCTCCTTTCGTTGTACAGAAGTTGTTTGAACTTGTTTTCGAAACTTGGTCATATTGACAGGAAGACCTAGAGGAACACACCTTGTCCGGAGTCGATAGTGGGCATGATCATTTCCAGAGTCTGACCGTGTACGTGGTACATTCTCAGATGTTTCGCCGGCGTCGTCAGTGAGCCTTTCCATTCTCAGCACCACACTACAACTCGTCAACGAGTCTTAGACTGTTGATCTAATGTTGACGCGAAAGCCTATTTTGTCCTGTCTATCGATATATTAGTTGACATTCATATTAAATCGAAAAGTACAAACAAATTATCACTTTCTGTCGACTGTTATTCTAAATAACTTTACAAAGCCTTAGTAATTCCTAATTGAAGGCTTCGAAATTTCCGAGATTTTCATTAAATGAATACAAATCAATCTTCATATTTTATCTATCACGCTACCTATATTATTTACAATAATCCTAACTGAAGATCCTTATGAATTTTGATAAGATCCAAGGCATTTGAGAGTCCAGAATTTCACAAAAGGGGTAATTTCATTTACCACTTCCCCATCTCTCCACTACTGATGCGATGGATACAATAAACTTTGCGGAAAAAAATTTGGTGAGCATTAGACGATGGCGAAATATAAGAATATAATAAAGGATTCGACAGAAGTTCTGAAGATTGGACATACAATATGGCGTCTCTAGCAGTGAACTAGAAGAGAGGAAAGTGTATTCACTTCTTCAGCGATATGCTAGGCCACCAATTGCCTATAGTTTGCACAAAATTAATTTTTCCATGTGGGCCTTAGAGTTAACATTGAATCAACATCTTAAGATCATAATAGACAACGGGTCAGGAAAAGATTTGATCATTGCCCTTAGCTTTAATGGTAAGCTGTATGAGCAAGCACAAGTCTTAGCTTTGGGAATGTTTTTGGTTCTGTTTGCTAACTTGGAAGTTTGATTGATTCAGGAAGCTCTCCTATTTTGTAAGTTATTATTTAGACATATTTGTGCCATACTGTTTTCACACCTCGGCAAGGATTTTTAGATGTCCTAGAAATTAAATAAATAATACTTCGGGTAGATACTTTTTCATGTAACTCATACACTTAGGTTTCCTTCCTGACCTCTATGATCAAACATATGTGTTCAAAATAGGTGTTATGCACTCAATGAATATAGGAAGTCTTCGTCTAACAGATATAAGGCATTAGGACCAGAAAGTCGGTAGATTGAGAGCTTTATTAATTAAGAACATACGAATAAATTGTGGGTTTCTTAGGGTCTTCTGAAGTAAGATTGATGTTAAGACTTGCATTTCATATGAAAATAGATGATGAATATATTCGTAGGTCAGTCTCACCAGAAGACGTTGGCTGATTCTCGTTGTACGGCAACCGTTTCGCCTTAATATTTATATAAAGAAGAAGCTGTGATCATATCAACTTTTTTTAAATACATCAACTTCTCCCATCTGCATGTATTTTTGATCGCGAAATTAGGTATGGGATATGAGTAGACCTGCAGATATCAATCTTTTCTTTTGGTTTAGTATATTGATGCAGTGTTTCGTTAACTATTTTTCTTATTCCGACGATTTCTGCCAGACGATAGACGGAAACTCAGCTCCGGTGCATTCGATGCACAGGACGGTGAGCCAAAGACTTCTTCACAAAGTCTAGTAGTCTTCATCCTAACACAATCCTCCTTTGGTTTCCGGTGGGGCCAATTCACGAATCTCTTCCAAACAACTTTTCCTTTGAAATATAAATTATGACTGCTGTAATATTCATGGCTTGTTTGAGATCGAAGCTTTAATATTTTATTTAAGCAATTCGTCTCCTCTCTCTTATGTGGTTCACACGATACAGCCATATTATTCGTCAGGCCATACTAGCATGGCACTCGATGACATCTACTGCTCTGTATGACTGACACTTGTAGTTGTCATAACTCAGTGAGACAAACTCACGTATGTATTTATACAATGTACTCTTAATAGGACGATGATTTTGGCTTGATATGGATTTTTCCAATGAAACTTTATTATGACGTGCATATATTTGACACCATTTCAGCGCAAAACCATAAAAATGATAAAGTTGTTTGATCCTGTTTGCGCCACTTGGTCATATTGGCAGGAAGCGCCAGAGGAACGCAGCTCGTCAGGAGTCCGTAGTATGCGTGACAATGTCCAGAGTAGAACCGTGGACTCGGTACACCCCCAGACGTTTCGCCGGCGTCGTCAGGGCTACTGGCCAGTCTTAGCACCACACCACCAATCGTCAAAGCGACAAGGGCAACCGACCCTTTGACCGATTGTCTGCCAAACTGCTGTGGTACCTAATCTATATCCTCGTATCACTCCTTCAATATCACAATTTTTACTTTTTATCTAAGCCCCCATCGCTGCCACCACATCCATGCTACTCAAGGCGTTATAACCTAAACTCCACCTCAAGCCTTTGATAGCACGTTTAGCCCAACCTCACCAAGCAAGCCCCTAACGTCTGGATTCACAATTGGCCTGGCAACCTGCCTTGCTGTTGCAGCCTACCTTGTCACTGTGTCCCATGTGCACCGAGTAAGTCTCGTGGTCGAGACTTAACGTCATGGATCACGTTTAGGAATAGCCAACTTAAAAATGGTCAACACCGTTTCTCTCACTCTTTTGTCACCAATGCCAAGTCTATGACTTTTTTATGCCCAAGTCTCTTGCGTGCCCATTCCCGAATGTGGTAGTTATACTTGATTTCAATAGGCCGGTGTATACGTGTTATGAAAGGATTGAGGCAGAATGTAGCACCTATACGATAGCAGCGATGGCTCGAAATCACTGAACCATGCAGACAAGGGAAGGATCCTACGGTGCAAGTGAAGGACTCTGATAGGACCCGAGGGGAGAGGATGCGGAGTAAACACTCCCGACACAGTGGGAGGGATGTGGAAACCAGCGGGGAGTGTGAATTGGCTTGAAATTGGGTCAGATGAACGAGTGAGAAATTGTCACATTAAAGTGGTGTTACGAGGATATAGGATTGATGGATACCCCAGGACAGGAGAGCTATTGTATGCAACTGTTTAGCAGATAATTGGTCAAATGATCGACTTCACTCATGTCTGACGCTTTGTAGTGCGGTGCTAAGACTGACAAGAGCCACTGACGACGCCGGTGGAACATCTGGGAATGTACCAAGTCCACGGTCCGACTCTGGAAATCACAATTAATACTATGGACTCCGGACAAGGTGCGTTTCTCTAGGTCTTCCTTCTAAATGTCCCAGTGGCGAAAGCATGGCCAAACAACGAAAGGAGACCGCGACCATACAAAATGCTACAACATTTTGGTCTTTATGCTTTCGATTATAAAAATTAAATTTTAAGATATTTTTTCACTAAAGTTTACTCTGATAATACTTTCTTTGAAGTGAGTGTTATTTGTTGTGCATCCTTAACTGATTCTTTATTTTAAGACTAGACTAGAATATCTTTTATTTCAATCCTTTAATGTGGGCTTAAAAGCCGATTTTCTTTCGATATCATCGAGTTTATTATTTAAGAAATATGGTGTATACAACCATCTATTTTGCTATCTCGGGCTTGATGCTTAAGGAATTTTTCACTTAATGTCAAAGGCAATTTATACTTCACTTGGGCTTCATCATTAGTTTCACAATCGGGCCGAATGGCCACACTTCTCCACTGTCATTGAATCGAAGAACTACTGCGACTTTTTCTGCAGACCAAGTCATCTTAAAACTAACATCTTTTCTGAGTGAGACTAAATGGCATTCAATGATATTATGACGGCTTTTCTTCATTTACTTACTAAGGACGCTACCCTCAGGCCATGAGTGACCATTGCGACCCTCATTGGCTATCTCTGATATGATGTACATCAATTAATAGTCTCTAATTGTGCTTAATTTATACGAGATAAATCTCTTGAGATAACATTGTTTGGAGGCTTTCATTTATTTTAGAAGAGTATGATGAGGAGGTTTATAGGTCGATCTTACCGGAAGACGACAGCTTTTTCCTGTTGTTATGCCCTCATTTGGCTCAAATACGATGTTTACGTTGGCGCGGTTCACGAAGCATCTTTCCTCGTTTCGGTTGAAAGAGGTTTGAGCTTTCAGTATATGACGAATATCGGGATTGAGTCTTCTTGACTCGGTGTTAACTTGAGACTTTTGCAAGATTGACTTCCAATTCTGATGATGTTTGTCATATGACGAATAAAAGGTCAACCCATTTTCAACCGAAGCGGGAGAGGATGCCTCCGGAGCCGCGTTTCCTTCGTATTAAAGCCAAAAAGCTACAGACCACCAGGAATCAGTCATCGTCTTTTGGTGAAATCGACACATGAATGTCTTCACTATGCATTTCCATACAAAATTAAAGTCTCTACAATTGCATAATTTCTCGAATATCTTATTGTTTATATTCCCCATCGGCCTCGCAAAATGCGCACATTAGTTGGCATTTTTTCGTCATAACCAGTGATTTCTCTTGCCTACACGTAATTAGTTTGGCTTGATTTTTGCCGGCGAATTATTTACACAACTACTGAGCAAAACTTTCGAATAACTTAGGCTTTAAATGTATGGATGTTTTACATCTCTCTTGTGTTTTAGCCTTTGATAGTCAATCTGTTTTCGCCGTAATCAAGAGCAATTTTGAGTTTTTCTGTGAATGTTAATATCCCTTTTAGCGTAACATTCTCCATTATCGAGACAGATTTCTATTTTAGACATAGTCTTGGCATCATTATCACTTAGGACAGGATTGACATTCAGATGCAAACAAGTTACCCACGCCTCGGCGCTAAGTGATTATAGGCTATGACCTTAAAAGCATAATTGTTTGAATGATGCAATTATTGAATAAAGGAATAGGCTTTATTTATCGCCTCCAAACAGGCCGCTAGTCACCGGCTGCACCAATGTTTAAACTTTTTACAAGTATACTTCTTTTTCTTTTCATGACCTGATTTGAAACTGAGGCAATCGCCATATTAAGGCATGGTCTCGTTTTGACAATATATTTTGTAATTGAATATCAATTGACGAATAGAAATGACTAAAGAATCGAATAGATAGACTATACATGGTTACTTAATTGTTCGTATGAAAGACGTGAATAATATTTATATACTG